GGTGACAGTAAGACTCACCAGAAGAGGGGAGGAACGACAGGAGAACAAAAATCGCTGGCATATCTCCCGCCGGAATCCCTTCCATTCTCTAAAGCCCAGTCCCAGGTACTGTGAGAGGCCCACTCACCTGAATCTCCTTTCCCCAACGACGTGAGCGCCTTGTTTTAGTTCTTTTAACGTTCGCGCTCTAGATCCGATGCAGTACTCAGGCTTTGGGCCCAACTTGTGCTTCGCCCGGAGCACACACGCTGCAACTTTTACTTCATGAGAACAATCATCATGTGGTGGTATGGAGGTGCTGCCGATCTAAAAAGTGCTCCATAGCAAGATGGGAGCCTAATGACTATGCCCACGAGGGAAAGTAAAAGTTGCTCAAGCATCCCGAACCTCCCCCGCCCCCTCTTAGTCTCGTTTAAATCAAAGAAGAAATGTTGGCGCAGTTTAAAGTTGCTGCTTCAAGGTCCCCATGTCTTGTGATAGCGTTCTGCTTTTTCTTCTTCACTTTTTCATTGCTGTTCAACTGCTTTTTTGAACGTTCAGTTGTAGTGGCTTGTACCAAGCAGGGCAAGTACACTAGTAGAATCGTGAAAATGCAAGAATGGGTGTTGTATTCGGTTGTTCTTGTCATGTCAACGTTGATAGAACCCTAGAGGATGATTCATTTCCTTCTGATTCTCTTTTCTCTTTGTCTTTCTTTGTTTTTCCTCTTCAATGTTTCGTGGCGGAGTCACAGTGGTCTTCGTATGCAGTCTATCCCGTAGGAGATGAAAAACCTCCATAAATTCGCGTCCGTTGATCCGTCGCGCGACGGATCACAGACCTCAAGTGCCCCGATCAATACTGCGAGGTTCTCCAATCCTGCCGCCATTCTGCTTGATGGTGATGGTTGAATGACGACTGTTCATCATGATTCTACTTGTTTCATATTCAGTGTTTCAATGTTCAAATGAGGCACTTGCGATTTTTGCTATCCGTGCTAATCGCGCGACGGATCGCCTACTCTAACACCAGGCTAAGCGATTGCTCTGCTCTCATACTTTGCACCGTGCGAAAAGAGCAGATAATGCGGACAAAGCGGGAAGTACGAGAAGGGTATGTGCAAAATGCTGGTGTATGATTGGAGAGATTTCTGTTTGCTCAATGAGTCGTTCCTACTGTGCGCTAAACATTATGCGCCAGCATTCTACAATACCGCTTCTCCCATTTCCGCTTTGACGCAAAGTATGAAAACAGCCGGCGTTCCGCACTAACGGCTCAATTTCGTAGCGAATGCTTGTAAGGTCTGACCA